TCACAGCAAATGAGAGAGAAAAAAAATACAAAAAAACAGAGCCTCTTGTACTGTTATGTGATTCTTCGTTCTTTTGTTCGTTCAAGAGAGGGAGTAGATACAGGAATTATAGCACAAGTAAAAAAAAAAAAAATGGGATATATGTATAAAAAAACGGAGTATGTATATATATAATATATATGTATGAATCCATTGCTATAGTTCTTTCATTGTGTTTTTTTTTCGTTTTTTGTTCTTACAATTGGTGTATTCAGTGTACAACTCGTATCAGATACTCTTTCTCTTCTTGTCGCTATTTCACGTCTTCGATTCTCATATACCGGTCACTAGCAATAGTGTTCGCCCTCTCGTTTTTTTTTTTATAAATAAAGATTGTATGTATATATATATATATATATATATATGGGTTTTTCTATGAACAGAATGAAACACAAACGATACCAACAAAAACAATAACAATGCAAGAAAAAAAAAATACATTTTTCTTTTTTTCTCATCATACAACTATTGGAATTATATTGCTTAGTTATTTATTCCAAATGTGTTTGCGGATGGTGGAGGTATGATATGATTCTCGTTGTTTTTACTCGAGTTGTCATTATATTTTCTTTTTCCTACTGCCCCTCCTCCCATACAATTGCCGATATTCTTTCTTTCTCTCTACATTCGCATTGTTTTCCCTCCCCCTTGTCGCTCTTTACAAAAAGGAATGTGACGTTCAGCTGTTGCCGGTGCAAAGCGACGTCCACATGAGGGACAACATACTCGATCATCTTCAAATAAATCTCCATTACTATCACCATTTTTATTAGTATCATGAGAACGTCCACTACCTAATTGTAATGCCTGTCGTAATTGTGCACGTTGTTTGCGCCACTTCGGGGTTTTCTTTTCAGTTTCTAAAGGGCCACTATTACGAGTAGATGATAAAGCACTCCCTGCTTTTCCTCTACTAGAGACTAATGGATTTCTGCTATCATTAGAAATACTAATTGGGCTTATATTCTCACCAGCGTATATCTGAGATATTCGGTGAGCACGAGCATCATATACCCGCCTTGAACTAGCATTGGTTTTTGAACCTTTTCGTTGTGGATGTTGTTGTTGTTGTTGTTCACATACGGCAACATGTCGGGGCCAACGTGATATTGCAAAAAACTGACGTCCACAATGAGGGCAAGGCTTTAATGGCTCATCTACTCCCTCTGGTTCCATCTTCAAATTAGCAGCACTACCATTATTACTCATCATTGTAACACTACTCTGTCTACAAGAAAAGAGTTGCTGACCTTTAATGGCAGATCCATCGATATCATCTCTATCCCTAGCGGTAAGAGAAGTAATACCCATAGAAATTGAAGTTGCCGTTAAATCTACAGAGGGTCTAGCTGTCACAGCAGCTGGTATCTCATCTATACTAAGTACTCCAGTTGTTGGTAATCTTTGTTGAGAGTTTACACCAGGAGATGAAGGGGTAAGTTCTCTAGAAAAACAAAAACCTCGTTCTTCTCGTCTCCCGTCTCTTTCATCACGATCATCTGGTCGCTCTTCCTGTGGAGTAGAACACTGAATGGAAACGGAGTAATTCGTACTTTGACTTTCTGTACGTAGCGAAAGAAGTGCAGGAGCAACTACAGTATTTCCCCCAACGTTTCGTCGTTGTGCCTCTCCAGAAGATAATCCACACTCTGTAACTAAGGATGTTATAGTCCCCATTGGATGAGAAACAATGGAAGGAGAAGGAGAAACCGTAGAAGCAGTAGTAGTACCAACAACATTTAGTCGTTGCTGTACAGCTTGTAATTCTTCCATGAAAGTTGGTGTTGAACGCCCTCTTGTTCCTGTAGAATCTGTTGAGATGGCTACATGTGATAAGGATCCAGTTGCCAAACTTGCTTTCCGAAGTAATGCGGCATATTCTTTACAATTCGCCTGATGACGGGAGAAGGCAGCCATATCTGTATAACAACGTGTACATCCAGGACACCGCTGCTCCTCCTTCTCTTCCTTTGCATCTCCTCCATCCAACAATAAATGTTGTCCATCCCCTTTCAGTTCCTCAGCGACGGTCGTATTGGAAACGAGAGCTGCTGTATGCCGTGTTGGGGCCGTCGTCCGCGCAGAGGCAGAGGGTGGAACGGCATTGGAAGAAAGACTATCAAATTCTTTTTGCATAGCTCGTCGTTCGGCCAATTGATTGCGTTGTACGGTTAACTTTTGTTGAGCGCTTAGTCGTAGGCGAAGAAACAGTGATGCTCGGATTTCACTGGCTTGTGCTTGTTCCAAAAGTTCTTTTTGCTCACGAAGTAAACTCATTGGATCAAATACAATGGAATTAGAAGCACATACCATTGAGCCATTTAAAACCCCGTCATTCAATATGGTAGTGGTACTACTATGAGTATATCGGTACGTGCTATTACCGGACGCAGTTGTACTGTGCATGTTTTTTTTTTTTTAATATCTATATCGCAACAGAAACGAAATAATAATAATAATAATAATAATAATAATAATAATAATAATAATAAAACGATACAAAGATGACGTTCGATGCCCAGAAACAAAGCAAAGCCCACCCCCTTTTTTTTTTATGTGGGTTATATGTATTAATTATATACACGCAATTGAATATGTGCCACTGTTTCGATGAGTAGCTTCTTATTACTTCTACTACTGTTGTTACTAACGATTTAGTTCACTGCCTATGGGAAACAATAACAAAAAAAAAAAAATAACAGAAAAAAAAAGAAACCGCTATATTTCAGATGGATAGAAGCACAACAAGAGCATGTGTAGGATTTTATGTAATACGCCATTCAATATATATATATATCAAAGAAGTAAGAATGTTCATAAACGAACCAAAGTAACAAACATCTTAGGATTCCCCGTAAGCGTGTTCACTTTCATATCCAAGAATAATTCACTTACAGAGAGTCAATAAAAAGAACATAGACACAAAAAAAAAATTTTTTTTTATATTTAAACAATTAAATAAAGAAATAAAGACATCGCTCCGAAATACAGAAACACTCCGTTATAAAAGCAGAAAGCGGATAAGAGAAGAATAGGAATGTGTGTGTTTTTTCAATCAATCTGTGATTTGGGATGGGGAGGTATATGCAACTGGTGACGGCTCTTATGTGATAATCGCCGACCGAATTGCGCTGGTGTAGTGGGAATTCCTGAACGCCGCATTACATCATCATTAATTGCATACGACTCCTTCACCTCTTCACCTTCATCGTATAAACGATTTACTTCTTCTTCCTCTTCTTCTTCTTCTTCTTCTTCCTCCTCCTCCTCTTCTTCTTCTTCTTCCTCAACTTCATTATTCTGAATAAAGGCATCACATACCGCATTATAGTCCAAGCTAAACGTCGCTGCCACCATTGTTGGGGCCTCAATACAGAGTCCAATAGTTAATCCAAGACCGACACCGTATATCTGGTAATTCATAAATATCCCAAAGAATAACGCTGATGGGATACCCACTACCCATAGTGAGAGCAATAGAATAAGGGCACCAAGATGATTCTTACCAAGACCACTAAAGATACCTTGAAATGCAAATTGCACAGCGTCTGCGATATGAAAAAAAGGTAGTATATTTATTGTACTCCGAGCCAATTGTAGCGTAGAGCCTTTCGTACCAAATAGAGACATAATGAAATCGAAGAAGTTGTACAAAATGACACAATCAATTAAACTTATTAATACTGAAATAAAAACAGTAACTTCAACGAAGGTACGAGCATTAACTGGTTCGTTACTTCCTACAGAACGACCAATATTTGCACAAGCTCCAGCGCTTAACCCACCAGATATAGAAGCAAAAATGAATAATGCATTCATAATACCTGACCATGCCGCTCCTTGTTGTTCTCCAAAGTGAGCACAAATTAAAATACTCAAATCAAATGCAGATGCCTCTGCAGCAACAAAAATAGCACTCGGAATAGCAAGTTTCAAGTATTCTTTTACATCTGATAATTGTAAAGCTTCTTTTAAACGAAGAGTACCCAAAGTATGTCGTGTTTGTGGTTTATTAAGTGTCATAATAACAAGGACACAAAGTTGAAACCATGCAGTTATAGACATACCAATCATTGTATAACGTACACCCATAGGTGTTAAAAAACGTTGTACAAATGGAGTAATAATAAATCCAGCTATAAGTGCAATCATTGGCATTTGTGGTTGCATTTGATTAGACAAAAATTTATTAAATGCAATGAATACTGTCAAAGGTAATAGAAAAAAAGGCATATACAAAAGAAAATCCATTGCTACATCTGAAACTTCTAGACCATATATCTTAATAAGTAACGGCCGAAGTTGATAAAAAAGTAAACAATCAGGAACAAGAAAAAACAGGTTAATTAAAATACCACGTTGAAGTAAAAGTCCCAAGTCCTGACTATTTGGATCACGTCCATATTCATGGGAACATAAAGTATCCATTGCGAAAGTCATTCCAATTATTGGATAGAGTCCAACTATACTAAGAATAAAGAAACCAACTGAAGCACCTGAAAGATAACGTTCTCCAAGATGTGTACCTACAAAGGCTAGTGGAACGACTGAAAGAGCAAAAGTAAGACCGATTGTAACTGCTGCTGGTGCAGCAAAGGAAATAATTTGTACGGCAGCTTCCCAGTAACTAAGTTTTATACTCTCTCCAGATTCTTCATGTACATCATCACTATATTCCTCTTCACTCTGTTTTTTATCAGTTGTTAAATTAATGTGGTTAGAAAAGGAGACACGACGGTTATCAATATGTGAAGAAGTACCCTCCTGTAATTTATTATTTTCAACTGGTACCGTTGATTTGTATGAATTTGATCCAATACTTTCCTCCTCTTTGGGAGGTGGAGATATTTTGTTTTTGTTTATTTGCGTACATTTTTCCTTATAAGTGGCTAGAGCTTCATTGGTCTTTTCAATGTTATACGAAGAGAGCTTTCCACGTGGTGAGAAATTATCACGTATTCGTTCTAGCCCTATAACATCTATTGAAGTTTTGGGAAGATGTTCTCTTGAAGTTTGGCTGGAGTTTTCACGATCTATCGAATGGCGCATATCTGCACTATTTGATCGTGGTTTTAATATTATATACTCATGTAGAAATGAAGTATTTCCCCTTACTTCTCCTTGATTATCATGTGATACTTTTTTTTCTTTTTTAAAGGCACTTTGTGGTGCCACAAGATCTTTATCAAAACGATAATTTGATCCTTGCTCTGTAGTAGTTGTTTTTATTTCCAACTCCGACATTTCCACAGCCACAGCAGTAGTGGTGGTATTAATAGTAGTATTAGTACTTGTACTAGTGGCAGCATCAGAGTGTCCTTTTGAAGAATGTTTTGGAGTTCGATCAGGACGACGTAAGGGAGGAACACAAAACGTTGCGCCGTGACTTGAGGTGAAACTACCATGAAAGAGAGTTTTTCGTGCCTCCTCTGCCAGTTTAGTGGTCTGTTGACTCACTGTGAGTTCTGCATATCGTGCGCCACTGCGGCGGATGATCACCACGCGGCGGGTGCGGGTGACGGGGACGGAGATGGAGCGCACGGTTGCGCCGTAGTGCTGCCGCCGCCGCCGGACGCCGACCTCTTGGCGGAGGCCGAGCAGTCCGGACCCCTCATGATGCCCCTCCGCCCCTCCGCCCTCCCTCTCCCTCTCCCTCTCCTTCCTCTGGTTGGGGGAGGACCGGGTGGAGTGGGGGTCCATGCGGGTGATTCTCAGGGGGGCTCTCCGGCGGTGGGTCCGCGGTTCCTATCGCAGACAGAGAACTCGGGACAGAGAGAAAGAAAAAATAAACAAATACGGTTATTTGCTCCAAATACTTATTGTGCCTAATATAAAAATAATTAAATAAATATATATATATATATATATATATATATATCTGCAATATAATATAGAAGTGCTAAAAGTGCGGTTCTAGATGGTGGTGTTGTAATAATACCTTCAAACCTCGTAGACAGTGCGCATTCCTTTAAAAAAAATGAAAAAAAAAAAAAAAAAAAAAAATAAGTAGTAAAACCAAGTACAAACATAGTTTTCCACACTACATTTATGCATATTATTTCTCTCTTTCTTTCACTTTCTGTCTATATATACGTATATATATATTCTCAAGAATATGCGCAAACAACTCCAAGAGACAACAGCAACAAAAACATAAAATACACAGAAAAAAAAACTTTTCTTTTTCTTTTTTTTTTTAGTGCTCTCGAACCCAGTTTCTAATGCTGTTCACCATTTGACGTTCTGCCTCCACTTTTCTACAGACCACCTCATACTTTTTCCAATCAAAATCCTTTGAAACATATTTTTTCACTTTCGCTGGTAACATTGTTCGATCATAATCACTACATGTAAGTGAGTGCCCATGGCGAATAAAGTAGAGAAAAAATACAATTGTGGTAGCTGTTCCAATAAAATATGAAATAGGCTCCATAATATCCCAATCCAAATCAAAATAAGTCAATCTCGATATAATAGCTAGTTGCATACCAGCAAAGCAAAGTGCTCCTCCCCAGACAAGACGACGCCAATGCACAGCTCGTTTCAGTGCTGGTTCAAGTTCAACTTCCATTTTGGCCTTTTCGGCTTCTGCTGCTAATAAACGTGTATTTGCCTCTTCTAGAAAAAAATCAAGAGAAACATTACTTATTCCTCCCTTCTCCGTGAGGCTTTCCTGCATCTCAAGTAGTTGTGCAGGACGCAGATGAATCGCTTTACCATCTGAAATAGAAACAATAACGCCAGCCTCCTCAAGTAATCGTAACGCCTCACTACTATTAGAGACATGACTTTCAGAGCAATAATAATCAAAAACTGCACGGCTAATTACATCACGAGAACTTTTCACATCATCCGTAACAGTAACATTAGGGGCATCATTCATCATCGTATGATGTTTTAGTGCCTGACGGAGCAATACCATTGGGGCAATGGATGAAAACTCTGCGGCTGTTAATATAGGAGATGACTGTGATGTTTTCTTTTCATCACCTCCTGCCACTCCAGAGGACCATCGACTCGCACAGACGATTGGTGAAGAGGATAATAATACACCTCGTTGGAGTCGAAAATAATTACGGGTTAAAGCAGAACCAGCTATGAGTCTCGGTGCCGCTATAAGCATTGCTTCTTTTTTTTTTTTTTTTCCTTTTTTTTCTCACCTCGCTGTGGGTACAGAACTCACAACAGGCTAATAAAAAAATAGTGAGATCAAAAAGGAAAAGGAAAAAAAGAGGAGAAAAAAAAAAAAAAAAACAGTGTAGAAAATAATTTACCATAACAGGGATACAAAAAATATATATCATGAAATTTTTAAAATGTTCATTAGATGTAAAAACAAAATTCCGTATCTCAGTAATTTTTTTTTTTTGCCCCCTTTTCTCCCTTTTTTAACTACTCTATTTCTTTATTGAACTCTTGTTCTATTTTTATCTAATAAACCACAAGGAATTACACTTTTCACCTTATGGAGATTTGGTCAATGGATTCAAAAAAAAGAAAGAATAATCGCGAGAAGGTAATTCATTAATTCTTCTATAATAATTTACCAATGTTCTATCTATCTATCTATAGATAGTTTTCTCTTTTTTTTTTATTGCTTGTATGAATATATATATATATATATATATATTTATTTATTTATGAAAGCTATACGAAAGGATTAAGTAATCTAAAAGCATGCAACCCATGAGGCACCACAGACATCTAATATTAGTACAGAAACAGTACGAAGATGTGTTTAGTGTATGCGACACCAGTTACAATACCAATGCGGTCATTTCACCATAATAATAATAAAAAAGGAAAAGGAATTCTGTTTTCTCTTTATTTTTATTTTCCTTCGGTGTATTTCTCAGCAAACAGCCTCTAGGCCCACAAAAACTGATTACGTGAGAAGAAACAAAACACAAAAAACGAAGAAGAAAAAAACAAGAGGAAAACAAAACAAGAAAAAAAAAATGAGAGGAAATGACTCAACAAACGAAAAACAAAACAAAAAGATATAATGCAAAAAAAAAAAGAAAACTCTAATAACAAGAGAAATGTCTATTCAACAATTTACTCCTGCAGGTATTTAATCTAATAAAAGCAAATAAGAAACCATCCAAAAGAGAGAAGAAAAAAAAAAAATGCAAAAAAAAAAAAAACAAAAGCAAAATGGAAGGATAAAAATACCAATAAAGATAAGCAAACATAAGAAGAACTAGTGGGTAACATATGCACATGTACTTCAAAAGACTCTGATGTTCATTGTTTTTCTTGTATTATTTTTGCACCTATGTGGAAGATAAGGAAGAAAGAATACCAAACACAAATACGAAAATATGTACGAATTGTGTATTCAATAAAGTTTTATTTATTATTATTTTTTTTAAGGGTATTCATCCCATCATGTATTTCTTCACCATAACGTAGTCAGACATATACACAGAAAGAAGAAAATGAATACCTTTTCCTCTGAAAAAAACGTCTTTCACCCCCCGTTTTCTTTTTTTTTTTTTTTCTATCTGATGTTCTTTACAATTTGCTTTTCACGCTTACCAGTTTTGACACCAATAATCAGAAATTCTCAGAAGCAAAAATACAAATGAACCGAAATAGAAAGTGAGTAAAACGAAAGAAAACAAAAACAAATTACGTAATGAAGGATAACAATAAAAAAAGAAAAGAAAAAAAAAAAAAAAACTAAAAGACACTTCTGCTTGAACTGGCTTGAAGAAACTCTGAAATGACGGAGCACCTCTTTTACACAATAATTATTCATATATATATATATTATGGTCACCTTTTCTCCCATTTCTCCTTAACCCCTTCTTCTTCTTCTTCTTTNAATCAGAAATTCTCAGAAGCAAAAATACAAATGAACCGAAATAGAAAGTGAGTAAAACGAAAGAAAACAAAAACAAATTACGTAATGAAGGATAACAATAAAAAAAGAAAAGAAAAAAAAAAAAAAAAAAAAAAAACCAATATCAATACCACCCCACATTTCTAGTATTTATATTTCTTCTTCAGAGCACCTCTTTTACACAATAATTATTCATATATATATATATTATGGTCACCTTTTCTCCCATTTCTCCTTAACCCCTTCTTCTTCTTCTTCTTTCTCTTCACCTGAGTCATATCTACACAGAGAGAGAATCTTTTATTCCTCGGCGGTAAATCTAATCGGGTGCCACACTTCCTGCTGCACATCGGCGAGCATCAATCGCTGCGAGATGGGATCAAAGCCCAACCAAGAGACGGGAAGTGCATCATCATCGCTGTGGGTACACCGCGGGTTTGGGTCGCCAAATGAAGTGAGACCAGCACCGGTGATGGACAACCGCAACGATCTTGCAACTCCTGAAGTGGACGAGTGCCGCAGCAACTCCGCTGCAGCTCCACCACTTGTCATTATTGTTGTTGTGGGTGTTTTTTCTTCATCCTTAAGGCAACATCGGCTTCCATGTGCGGAGTCCTCAAATACGGCATTACCTGTGAAATATACTGGGTTGAGTTGACCCAACAGTGAGGAGGTTGCGATCAGGTGTGGGTGAAAGCGGAAGGGCAACAGTAATTCCCCAAGTGCCAAGTTTGGATAACTCGTGGTGGCAAAACGAAAAGCCAAAAGACCCACAATTTTGTTTTTCGCATCATAAAAGACAAGTCCATGATGTGGTATCATACTACTAACTCCCGGTGGGGGAAGTGCCATTGTACATTCCGGGTGATTGCGTCTTATGATTGGCACCTCATTTGCACAGAATGCCATGTTAACAGCAGTACTCGGCGCATGAGTGGCACCACGCATCTCAACAGGGACCGGCACCGGCTGAGAGAGACGACCATGTTCACCCGTTTCAGGAATACAAAAGGTGAGAGATTGATAATCAGCATCTACACACTGTGGTTCATACCATCGACCAAATATTCGTAGTGGAGTTTTAGTGGATAATAAACGAGATTTTTGGATTTTTGGTTGAGGTGATGATATCGCATCGGATGCATTGAGTGTTGGTTCGGCTATTTCTCTCGCTTTTTCTTTTTCTTCTACAGATGCCTTTGGTATAAGAGGCGATACGGCGGCTGCAGTTCTGTAGGGTATAGTCTCTTCTGCTACAGTCTCTTCAGAAGGTTGAGATTGTTTCTTTTCCCCTATGCTTACAGCACAACCATTTGGACTAATCTCTACTAATTCCGTAGGTTTTTGATTAATCATTATATTTTTATTTTGAATATTATTTGCTTCCTTTTCTTCTTTCCAATTTTCTAAAGTTGCTGCGCCTAATGTTGCCAGTGAAGGTGATCTTATGGCATCGTGCAAGTTTATTTGAGGATCCCGCATTTCTTTACACCCTATGTCCTCTATATAATTCATACGAACAGGAGAACTTTTCTTTGAAAGTCGGCAATGAAGAGAAATAGAACCATTCAATATATTTTCCTTATTTATATTTGATAAACCATCTGAAGGGGAATTAAGATGTCCTGTTGAATTGATCTCTATTGCAGCTGCCTCTTTTACTTGTTGACCAATGGGAACATTTACAATTGAAATATTTGTACAACGACGTCGTGCGGCGTGATTTCGTCTTTTCCGTACATCTTGATGATATGATATCATCTTCACAAATGAACTTTCAGAAGGACTGTGATAGGGTGACTTACAATAACCTTCACCACGTTGAAAAGAATGATCTGGAAGGGCGGTGGTCTCTACTTTTGCCTGAAGTGTCAGTGATTGTACACTACAAACGAGAAAATAACGATCCTGTTCAGTTGGTGTTAAGTTTTCACTAAACCAAAATACAAAAGCCCCATCAGCTGCTGGCATCCATTTATTTTCACCTAATAAGAAAGTTTCACCAGGAAGAATCCATGCATACCAGTATACATTACGAATACTAAATAAAGCTGGAACTGCCCGTTGAATTCTTCCTTCTTGTTGTAATTGATGAGTACATTGAGATGGCCATGGTAATGCTGCTGTAAAACTTATAGTCGTGATAACATCCTTTTTTTCTTTCTTATAAAGAACATTACATGGAATTGGAACCATCACCTCTCGTGTGGTAAGAGTTCCTTTATTATTAGCCTCAAGTACTGCAAAACCACCAAAAAGTTGTAAAAGAGAATCTCTGTCTATATTATCTTCTCTTAGTGCAGCTTCTATACATCGACGTTTCTCTTTATCTTCTACCTTTCCCACAAGTGGAGAGAGATAAGTCATTTGACTACACTTTGTCACTATATATCCAGGTAATAATTCATCTGTGGACCACAGTGGTGAACAGACAGCTGGTCTATGATCATTAGGACCACAAGCAGGATGACTACACATATTACTACTACTTCCACTACCACTTCTCCCATAGCTACTACTTCGTCTTCTTTTACAAAGTACACACTCTGTACTCATAATATATAATCCCTTTACAGGGTCTATGAGAACATTTTCTGGATGAAGTACTCTTAACAGATCAAAAGATCCAATTGCGAATGGAAATCTAAGAATTGGTTTATGACGTAAAATCCCTTGTAGTATCTGATCTAATACACGAATAGTGGGACGTGTTAAAGGATCTTGCGCAAGCATAAAGATCACAAGATGTATAAAAGGATTACTATATGGTCCTGGTTGAAGATCTCGTCGTACACGACGTATAATATCAGATGGTGTTAAAGAAGTATGATTTAAAGGGAGTTCAGGAATTCTATTTAAAATACGATGAGAAATATCAAATAATCTTTTACTAGTTTGTGAACATCCAGAGGCTGTACGGTATACAACCATTCCTAATGCCCAGATATCATATTTGGTATTACCAAAAGGTTTACTTGAATTTATAATGACTTCTGGTGGTAAAAATGGATATAAATGATTTGACATATTACTCTTCTGAGTTAAAAATATTTGTTGTTGATGTCTTTCCTCTTCTTGAAATCCCAATATATTTAATACAAATGTTGGTTCTTCTTCTGAATTCGTAACCGCAACAAGTATATCCTCCATAAAGAAATATGAAGAAGAAAAATTATTATTACTTGTTTTCAATGCCAAAAGAGCTATTATCATTTGATTAATTAATGCACAAAGTGTTAATTCTGGGATATATCGTTTAGAAAGTTGACTCTCACTCCATTGCCGTAAATTACAAGTATAATTTGGCATCCAAATTACACCAAGTGTTCCCATCATATCTGGCTCTTTATACACAAACTCTTCTACAGAAAGTACTGGTACTATAAATGGACATTCACTAAATTTTTCACTTTCCAAACGTTGAACAGCCATATTCATTCGAGCTGTGAATGTCGTTTCATCTACAATAGGCCACAATTCATTTTCCATGCTAACCGGTACAGTCACACTAGATGTATCTGGTTGTACAAGTCCATTGTTTAATAAGACTTTCCACCAAATCCTCAATCGGCTTTGATGTGAACTAAAGTCTCCTAATGAAGAAGAGGAAATGGAAAGCATAACTTTTGCAATCATTCCATTTTTTTGCAGAAGCTCACGGTGGGCTTTTGGAGCACTACAAACTGTTTGAAAATCCAAAGATTCTCCTTCTTTAGGTGTGAAGAAGACACTTGTGGAGCTAATACGCACAGCTCGGCGAAAGAACACTTTCGAACGGCTTACATCCTGCTGCCGTTGATCAGATCCCATGAGAGGTCTACACAGTAATGCCGATCACCTTTTATAAAAAAAAAAAAAAAACAAATAACCCTGTTTTCTACTGTGAGTCTAATAATAGTCCACACCCAAATAAAGAAAACACAAATAAGAAAGAAAGAAAAAAAAAAAAGAACGAAATAAATAAATGATATAATAAAACTTCCCATAGTAAGTAAGCAATTGTATTAGATACAGCTAAATATATATATATATATGTATATATATATATA